GAGGCTACGTGCACGGCAACTTTGGGGAATTGTCAAAACTGATGCCCACACAAGTCAGGAGCTTAGCTATAGCCATGGATGTAAAGGAGATGGATAATAACAACTGAAGGTAGAGAAGTGCTGTAAGTAAAGAAAGGAGGCTGTGAATGAGGATAGGGCTAACTTGGAAAAACTTTTGGAGAAGATCACATTTGAGATGGACGTTCAGTGGATTGGGTATACCCTAGATCCTTTGGGAATGTGTTTCTACACATTCAAATCAATCAGCCAACCAATAAAATGAATAGGTTTTGTGATGATTCTAAAAACAGGACAATGGCATGGCTATTTTTTCTTTTCATAATAATGTAAATGTAGACTTTAACAGTATAAGCTACAACAAATAATTCAAAAGGGCTTACCTGCTTTTTGGCAGGATTCTAAGTTCATTTGAAGTTCTTCAGCCTGCTAAAAACAACCGACAAATGTTCTCCAGCGAGACCAGTTTAAACTGGGTTTCCTTAACGCCAGGATTACTGCTGCCCCCTGGTGGTAAGAAAATATGTTTCTGGCAAAGCAAAGCGCAAGCACCAGCCCCTTCTTTCTGCTTGCTCTGCAGAATCTGGGTTGTTGAGATTGTTGCTAGTGATAATGTCAGTAAGTACTCTTGAAGCAACAACAACAATAACAGAGAATGATAATTAGGCACTGAAACTGTCCTGCAGACAAAAATGCATCAGTGATGACTCAACCACACACAATGTGTTATACCTTGTCTATCCCATCAAGAATCTTTGCCTAAGCCAAGATCACAAAGATTTTTCCTCTTTTTTGTTCTTGTAGGCTTTATAATTTTAATTTCACATTTAGGTCTATAATCCTTTCTGAGTTGATTTTTGGATATGGTGCAGGTAAGGTGAGATTCTCTTTATTTTTGCATATGGAAGTCCAATTGTTTGGCACTTGGAACAATTGGCCTTCCTCAGGCTCTTTGCACTTGCTGTCTTCCAGGTCTCTGCACAGTTCACTCCTTTTCATCATTTGTGTCTTCTTTCCAAAGTCACTTTCTGTGCGAGGCTACTCTGACCACCCTGTATAAAGTCACTATCCACTAACTTATATCCTTATCACATTGGTCTGTAATATATTTTTCCTCATGGCCCTGATCACTATTTGCAGTTCTTATTTCTTTTTGTACATACTTAGTGCTTGCATCTCTCCATTAGAAGATAGGGCTATTTAATGTCATTTTAAACTTCTAGACCAGCGTCTGGTACGTTAGACACACAATAAAGATTCGTTGAATTGAGCATATTCCTTGTTAAGCAATAAACTTTTCATTTAGATTCTGAAAATATAATCTAATAAATACCTTTGTATTACATACAATATTTTCACTAGCTTCTCTCATGATATGGATTTCATAACCATTTTTCATTTGTGGTTTATTGGAAAGACTAAGAGTTGAGGCTCCTAGGTTCCAGCCTTGATCCTATCACTAAATGGAAATCACTGTACCTTTGGGTCCAGTAATCCTAGTTCTAGAAATTTATCTCAAAGAAAAAAATTGGACACATGCACAACCATACATGCATTGGGATGTTCATTGCCCAGTGCACTTATAATAATAAAAATTGGGAGAAAAATGATTTCATGCAATATGGCTTTGGCTAAGTGGACTGTGCTATATCCATCGTATCCATCAAAGTCACATGATGGGCCCCACGCACTATAGCTCACTACTGTAATCCTAGCACTTGGGAGGCTGAGGTGGGAGGATTGCTTGAGCTCAGGAGTTTGAGACCAGCCTGAGTAAAAGTAAAACTCCATTTTTACTAAAAAAAAAAAAAAAAAAAAGGGCGGCGCCTGTGGCTCAAAGGAGTAGGACACTGACCCCATATGCCAGAGGTGGTGGTTTCAAACCCAGCCCTGGCCAAATACTGCATTAAAAAAAAAAGAGAGAGAGAGAGAGAGAGAGAGAGAAAGGCCACATTATGTATTCTGTTAAAAATCATGATTATAGTCATTGTATTACATATTTAATACATTTATTGAGTACTTGCTAATTTCAGGCATCGGTTAAGATTCTGGGAATACAGAAGTAAAGGAAACAGAAAGATGTCCTTTACTCATAAACCTGACATTTTGATGGGGAAGAAAAACAATAAAAAAAAATATACTACATAAGATGACTTCAGGTAAGTTCTATCAAGGATGGATAATACGTTGTAAGGGATTTGGGGGCATCCCCTAAAACATTGGTTCTCAACCTGTGGGTCCTGACCCACAGCAACTGTATTAAAGGGCTGCGGCATTAGGAAGGTTGAGGACCACTGCCCTAAAAGAATGATTGGGGCTTGTTATTTTGTATAAGGTGGCCCAGGAAGAATGCTTTGAAGTCACATTTGACCAGAGAACCCAGTGAACTGAGGAAGTGAAGCATGAAAATACATGTGAAAATGCAATGGCCCTGGGGCAGGAGTATGCCCGGCAATTTCCTCCGGCCTTATACAGACCATGGGGAGTACATCAGATTTTATTCTAAAAGTGATAAAAAGACTTGGAGAATTTTGAATAGAGGAATCATAACATCACTTATATTTTGACAGTATGGTAAATAGACTGAGGGAGGACAAAAGTGAAAGCTGTTTCAGAAGTCTAGCTAAGACATAGTGGTGGCATAGCCTAGGACCATAGCAGTAGGAATGGTAAAAGTCGCATTTAGGATTTACTGATTTTTAAACAGAACTAATACAAAGACTGGTGTGGTAGTTTTGGGGAAGTATGCAGAAAAAGGAGAGAAAAGACTCCTTAGACTTGAGCCTTTGCAAAAATGAGTGAAACATAATTGACTAAGGATGTCTACCACTGTTGGATATGGGGATCTGGAATGCAGAGAAGAGGGTCTTCCAGGCCAGGGTGATTTCTGGGTG